TATATATATATATGCACACACAAATACACACATATTCGTATATTCATACATATACATATGTGTATATTATGTATATCATCCCTGATGTATGTTCAAAAATTAGTACTAGAGGAGCAAAGTAGAGAATCATTAATGAAATACTTTGAAAATGTAATGCTGTAACATTATTCTGTATTTTCTGTTAGATCTTACTACAATAAATTGTGCTAAATTATTGCAAGAATTTGAACTGAGGTTGTGGTGTTGTAACGCTTTGAGATTACAGAGATCATCGATGAAAGGTATTTCATGGAAGTGTCATTTAATTATAGTTTCACTGTGTTGACAACACTGTAGTTTCCATTTAGATTTTTCAACGAGCTGTAGCTTTGAAACCTAGATGTTTGAATTTGATTTCTCAAAATAATTCATTGTGATTTTGAACTAATTCTTTGTTATGATTGCACAAAATGAATAATGAATTTTATTTATATACAGTTTAAGCTTAAAAATGAGGTTAAAAAATTAAAATATGAAGAAAAGGACAATTTGGTTTTAATAAATATTGGTATTCGCAAAATAGTTTTCTATATGTAGCATTATAACAATTCAAATTTGGGAACTTACAGGATTCTTGTAACATAATGACATTCTTCCTAATTACAATTCCTGTGTGTGGTTGTTTTAATGTTTTTATTATTATTATTATTATTTTTAATGGATCAGCAGATAAACTGTTAATTCATGTTTTGTGGAGATAAATTGTACGTGACAATAGTTGTGCCTAGTGAATAACAGTATGCAAATGTTGATGTAAATGTAATTTTAAATTCACAGTGCATTATTGAAACAAGGTGTTTTATAATTCCACTGCAGGAGTATTGTGTGATAGATGGAAACACTATCCTGAAACTGTCATCTACTTTCAATTTTAATGAAAGATTAAATTATTTCACATGTATCATGTGCCATTATAAGGATCTGCATCAAAATTGTGACTAACGGAGGGGAAGAAATTTAAATTTATTTCTATTGATGTTAATTTCATATCAAATATTTTTGATTATTGGTTCTTTCGTGTTTGGTATTGTAAATGCAGATCTTGTAAATATTTGTGAATAAGGCAGAAATGATTCTATAATGTATCAGAGTTTGTTTTGGATAGCCTGATTTTAGGAAAGCGTATTTCTTGTAGT